ATTCTCAAACATTCATGTCCTAGAATACCTAAGGATTTCTCTACATCTTCCAAAGTTGGACTGAAAATCCACATTTTTAAATGTCACATAAGATGGGAGTTCTAGTGTTAAATAATACAAATATTTCAGATATTGCGTAAGGAAAGAGCCAGATGGATCCCAATCGTCTTCAATTTCTAACAGGCTTCATCTAAGTTGGTACCACAAACTCAGAGTTGAATTTGCTGTAGAAAACAGCTGAGCTGTTCTCAGAGATCCAAAAATCAGATTTGCATAAACAGTAAAATCAATGATACCCTCTAGTGTTCATCCTCTGCACTGCAGTATTAAATAAGAAGTGAGCGAAACATTCTGAAGACATGTGAAGATAAAGATGAAATCTCATTATTCAAGACAAATAAAAGTCCAGGATTGAGTATGAATTAAAAATTCATATATACATTTAGAACACTGTATGGAAAAAACACAGTAAAACAAGTTGATCTGATCAAATGAATGACCATTCAGGTTTTAATAATGCTGCAGTAGCCACAAGAAAAGGAAAACAGGCATAGCATTAACAAATCAATCTTTAATGATCAATTCTAATCTCATTTCTATTATTCAGAATATCACGTACAGCAGCAAGTATCGCGTGAGACTTCAGATCTCACAGTATCACAAGTGTAACACAGACAACAATGTTTAGAGAAAGGCACAAACATTAAGATAATTAAGTCAGGAGAAAACAAATTCAATATTTTTAACAAAATCAGCATGGCACAAGATTATACTTATTATTATCAAGAAACACCAAACAATAGAACAAAATACATTTAAGCTATTTAGCTTTGTTCTACTTCTGATTGTCACATCTATAATGTCACAGCTACACTCCTAGGGTCCAACCTAATTCACAGACCTCTGTGTTGTGAAATTCAAACCTGATACCAACAAAACTGGTCAAATATATCAAGTATTGAAGATGAGAAACTAACAACCTGTCCAAAAAACATTGTTGATTCTTAAAAATGATGGTCTGAACCAGTGTTGTGGACACTGTAATACCCATAATAAAATATATTGTAGAAACACTGTCTCAGATTATCTATAATGCATATAAGTGAGAAAATAAAACATATGAATAAATAAATAAAACCACACGTGAATTAGGTTGAGATCTACTTGATCTTGTTTGACCCTCTGATGTCCTCCAAATTTCTTTTGTACAGTACCGTTTCTTTTCCTCCCATTATGAAAATATTGCCACATATTGCACAAGCCACTGGATAAAGCTTTATAGCATGCTCACTCACAATAAAATACTGATGGATGTGAACTAACTCATGCTCACACAGCACTACAGTACTTTAGATCTCCTTCTGAGGAAACACAACATAAACTAGCGATACAGAAACATGAAGGAACCACAAAAGACTAAATCAGATTCTAATCACAGTGTCAGAACTGAGCACACAATGGAGTGGATGACATTGCCACCACTGAACAAAACAGCAGAAAAAGTTATAACTTGTCGTTTTTATACTTTTGTCTTCTGAACTCAAAATCCAAGTGCCATTTGTTTATTCTGCTGAGATCTTCATATATACAGTATATATATATAAATATATATGAAGAGTTCATTTGCAAAAACCGAAAACTCCATTTTTATTTTTATTTTCAGAAATCACGTTTTTTTATTGCGTTATATCAATCAAACTGCAGTCGGGTTGTTTTGATTAAGTAATAAGAACTTAAACAAATACAGGTAATTTACTAAATTAAAGTTAATTGAAAGTATGTTTTTTTACATATTAAAAGTTTGTTTTATAGTTGTCGTTTTTTGGCAAAAGCAGATAACTCCACATTTCATGTTTTAGAGCTTAATGGGGTGGTTCATTGGTTTTTTTTCTAGGCTTGATTGTGTTTATGGGTTGCAGTCTAACATGTGTTAATGCTTCGTAAAAAAAAAAAAAAAACATTATTTTTCACATAATTTACCTTTATTCCACATTTGTAAATGCTACTGCTTATGTTAGCTTTTAATATACGGTTTTATCCTGATTAAAGCTTTAATACAGTACGGCAACTGCACGCGCGTCCATGTTTAACGCTTCTCATAGCTATGTGAAAATAAGTGTATAATTGGAACAGTTCATTGTTGGAGCTGAGCTGAATGAAAGAGAGAGAGAGAGATGCAGAGTGTGTGCAGAGCAGGGGACACGAAGAACAGTATTAAGAACCACTGCTTTAGAACATTGATTTTGAAACTTGTGAATCCATTAGAATCGTTAGAAGACAGAATCGCAATTCATATATGAACAGATTTTTATGTGCACCTCTAGTTTTCTCTTCCTCTTCTCTAAAGCAGCGCAGCATGGCCTCGCCCCCTTTGCTGCCTTTTCCCGAGGGCGGGGTTTATCTAGGTTTGTGATGTCACGAACCCAGGAAGTAACTTGTTGTAGTCCCTACCAGCCGTTTTTGTAGGCATTAAACTGCCAGAATTTTAAAAGACGATATCTCCGTTTGCATTGAACTTTCAGCTTCGTAACTTTGCAGATATTGTTTATGCTCAAACAGCAACATTACACAGTAACATTAAAAAAAGTGAAATTGCAATCAACCACCCCTTCATAAAAACACTTGTTTAATCTTTGTAATCTCCTCAGATGACAATGTAGATGCCTGACAAACGTTATTGTTGTTGTGACCATAAACTGTATGGATGTGATTACACACAATACACTGATCTTTTTCCCCACTATTGTAACGCGCTGCTTTTGCAAGGTTCCGTGAAAACGTTTGAGCTTTTATTTTCCTTTTTCGGCCTGAAGAAGATATCACAGGTTCATCAAGTTCGTCGAAATTATCCATCCTCGATCACTTTGTCAGCTTTGACCAAACTCCTCTCAGCTAGCATGTCTTTTCAAAGTGAAAGTAGTCTTGTCACCTGACCTGGATACAGCGCGCTTATTCGCTAAAATAGACTTATCGGCTTCTGTTCAAAAACAACAAGGGCGCTTGTCGGCTTCTGCAGTAAAACGTGAACTCGTGATGCCTTGAAAGTGGACAAAACCGGCTTTTTTGACAAAACGTGTTAAGGGTTCAAATCGCGCTACATATGGAGAATACAATATATATCTTTTTTTTTCTAAAAAGGTAAAAGTCTAACACATGAAGCCAAGAGGTCCTATTTAGCTGGTCACATGCAACTTGTAGAACAATATGGGAAAAAGTCAGAGCTTAAACTGAACAGAACAAGTAGCCTGATCTGAAATGTTAGCAAATGCCCTCATTTGGCTTATTTCCCCCCAAAACTGACTGGGTTCATATCAAGACTAAGGTGCGGTGGATGACATTACCCTGCATTAATACAGTTAGAACAGTCAGAATCTGTCCGTAGAGCTTAACATCTTTTTGAATATGGAACATTCATTTGATTTCAGTGCTAGATGCCATTTAAGTTTAGAACTTAAATACTGTAATTATACTGTAATAGCTTACCCAAAAATGAAAATTCTCAAAATTCAAACATTTTGATACCAAATCGTTTACTCACTCTCGTGATGTTCCAAACCTGTATGCATTTCTTTCCTCGGTGAAACACAAAAGCAGATATTTTGAAGAATGTTGGAAACCAATTGGTAAATGGATTTGGTGACCATTGACTTCCATTGTAAAAAAAAAAAAAATATTTCTCAAAATATCTTCAGATGACACTAGGGTGAGTAAATGATGACTGAATGATTTTTGGGTAAACTATCTCTAAATGAAAGTGCATTCCTAAAGACCATAAGTGCTATTGCTGCAATTGTACAGAATAGAAAAAAGGATCTATTATGAAAGTTCTTGGCAATTAATTTTAGAGCACTTAACAACATCTATACATATTCCAATAGCTGCATGTATTAAAACAAAAGAGAACTTTCTTCTCTGTTAAAGTTTCCTTTTTCTCTCCTTCTAATGAGCCTGGCTAACATAAGCAGGGAAATGTATATTCATCCCTTAAAATGTAGTACCACTATGTAAAATACACAACAGCACTTCCAAAAAAGACTAAATGATTTCGATATTTGCTACGTACTTTTTCTTCTTGCTGAAACAGTGCATTTTCTATGAGAGAAAGTTTGTGAACAAACTACTGTGTGAATCTGCCGTTACATTTGTATGCCCGCTCGGTCTGTTCTGTTCTCGTGCTCCATTTAGGCGCGCTGCATTCTGATTGGTTCGGATAGCATACTGCGGGGAAGTCGGGGGCGCGGAAAATCGTGCTATAAAGTGATTTAGAAATTGCGCAAGCTCAAATCGCGATTTTATGACGATTTCGATTAATCGCACAGCCCTACTTGAGGGTGAGTAATTTATGGGCTAAATTTTCATTTCTGGGTGAACTAACCCTTTAAAGTGGCATAATATCCGACCTGTATGTCACAGGCTTTGTTTTAACATCATCCTGCATTTAGATAGCATAACTACATTCATTTTCCTGAACAGTAGTGTTAATTAGAAAACAACAAGCATGTAACATTACTAACTATAGCTTCACTTCATGTAAGCAACCTGTAATGACAGCTGCATCTATTTGAATTAAAGGGCAGCTCCACCATGTGTTCAGTCTAGAGCCAATCTTATCATTAAAATATTTCACAGATGGACCATAATCACATTCAAGAATCAAATAAGTATCAAATAATTAATCTGCCATCTGCAGTTAGACATCGCTGTTATTTATTGGGCTTTTGTATAACTCATATTTACATACAGTGGGGTCCAAAAGTCTGCCACTAATTAAATTATTCTAATAATAATTTTCAAGTCTCTTTTTCTGTTTCTAGTGAAAGGACCAATTTAATGAATCGATCCTTCATTAAACTGAATCCTATTTAATGAATCCTTCCTGAATACAAGTATTAATTTCTATTTAATTTATATATATATATATTTAAAAAAAACTCACCAAAATGTTAATGTATTTTAATTACAAAAAATAATAAATAATCATTAAAAAAATAACATTTTCAATGTGGCCTCAGACTTTGGACCCCACTGTATTATTGTTCATATTCTCAACATATTTCACTAATATTTTAAATAGTGCTATTTGCAATTACATTCATTGCTAAGCTCTGCCTCTGTCCCTAAACCTCGTACCCATCTGACCTCCTCCTCTGGGACCAGCTGTCGTAACCCAGTCTCCCAGAAGAACCTTTAGACAGTCCCCATCCAGACTGACCAAGCAACTGCTGCTCTTCATCCTGCTCAAGATGGTCTCCTGAAGACCTGATGTCAAAGAACAGCAAAATAAGATCATTATCATCATCCACCACACATACTTATATTCATTTACACACATCAAGACTAAATGGAAAAGAAGGGTAATCATTATTTATGGCAGAGCAACATGATCTTCTACTGTCTTGATAGGATCTCATGAATTACTTACTGTCTACAACAAGCCAAATGACTGCCCTGAGTCAAGTAAGGACATGATTTATATTGAAGTACTCTGAAAATGTCCTGCTGGTTGTTAATTACAGGAAATACCCATTACAGGGGTAATGCAAATTTCCTTCTAAAAAGTAAAAGCAATAATGCAATACCTGCTTTCTGTTATTCTATGTGGACCAAGTTCTGATGGCAGAGGCACCTGAAATAATGACAAATTAGAGAAATGCAGAGGACTGACATATTTCTGAAATAGAAGTTAATTATTGCAATCCTGGAAAATCGCACAAGTGGGTCATATCAGGTGATTCATTATTGAATTTCCCTTTTTATATCAGTACATGGGACAATGACTTGATGCTCTTCCTCATTTAAAAATACTCTGAAAATGCAATTCATATAAAAATGCATATGACAATACCTTTCCAATTTCTGAAATATAAGTCATTCTATCATTTTTGGAGGGCTTAAAGTGAAATTCTTGCAATATTGGCATGGTCTTGTTTATTATTGTTTATTCAAATGCATTTTGTTTAGGTCAAATGGAGTAACCCTGAAGAAAATATTCAAGACTCCAAAATTAATTATATTTTAAAAAATAAATAAATTGGGGAAAAATGTATTGTTTGAAAACTATTTTTTTTTAAATATAGAAATAGATGTTTAAATAAAAGTCATGACATACATATTTTTTTTATATGGAAGTTGTGTTGACATACAGAGTGAACTGTGCAATAATGCCTGTGAGGGACGCTCTGATAATATTCCAGTAGTCTCTCAGCCAGGGAAATCCTCCGCAAGAGGCTCTCAATGAACCGTCGCAAACGAACCTTCCCACATATCTCATGCTGTGCCGCTGCTTCCAGAAACTTCTGGATGGTAATAACCTCCCTGCAATATAGTAAAAGGTAGTTAGCGGAGAACTGCTTTATGAGGCATTTTTTATTCATATTTTCCCCCTAACAGTCATGAATGTTTCCTTCAGTTTCTTGTTGCCGCAGCTTTATGAAAACCAATGTAAAATGAGCAGCAGGGCTGAGCAATTTCTCAATTTCAACATAATACACTCACCCTCATGTTGTTCCAACCCTATAGCTTTAAGGGGGTCATGAACTGAGAAATCAAAATTCCCCTGATCTTTTGACATAAGAGGTCATTGTACTATAAAAAAATCCTGTAAGTTTCAGAACTAAAAACTTTCTCGTTAGACTAAAATCAGTTTATATTGAAGCCAATCTGACAAAACGACAGGTTGTGGAATGTGACACTTTGTGACGTAATAGTGTGGCTAAACCCCGCCTCCTGCAGAAGAAGATCAACGCCTGCTTCTATATCACTGCCTGTTTAGCCCCGCCCACCGATTCGCACATATAGTGTAAATAACGAGAGAGGCAAACTAACGTCTACACAGAAACCAGCTCTGACGACAATATGACGCTGTGCGGTGCCAAGCTATGGAAAAACAGTCTCCGTACCGCCTTCCTTCTGATCCTAACATTAGGAAAGAGTGGATGAAGTTGATTTTTAAAGGGGTCATATGATGTTGCTAAAAAGAACATTATTTTGTGTATTTGGTGTAATGAAATGTGTGTATGTGGTTTAAGGTTCAAAAAACACATTATAGATCCTTTGATATGTAGTGCGTATTTATGCGTTTTTAACCTAAATCACAGCAGCACTCATCTATGAAGGATGCAGGCTGTTAAACACACACAACTGTTAGCCAATCATAGCAGTGGGCATTTACTCCCGAGTCTACAATCCACCACGACTATTCAAACAGAGCGTTCTGATGAGGGGGGTCAAAACAGGACAGGAATCATCATGACTAGATAGACACGGTGAGTTTGTCTTTACTATACACGTTAGATGTGATCCACCTCATAGTAACAATCCTGTCAGATCGTCCATTCTTTGAGTGACAGTGTAACGTTACAGGTCGGCCGATCTGGATTCGTGGTTAAAGTTAACCTTTTCCACATGTTTGCGTGTTGTTGTTGCTCAGCAATGGCATGGACGCGATGTTGTCTGGGGGTTTGGCAAAAGGAGAGTGGGACTGTGGGCGGTGCTCGGGGTGGTAACTGAAGGCGGTGACTGTGTAGTTCTAACATCAACTTTTTACGGAAGTCACAACGGTTCGTGAAAAATCTCAGCTACTTTATGCAGGCTGTGTGCAGTTTACTGTGGACTGACTGTTTTGAAACTTATATGGTAGTTAAACAGCCCCTAGACCTCAGTAATCGTGAAAAAAGCCAGAAAATTTCAATTTTGACAATATGGGACCTTTAAGATCTGTGGTCAGTAAAGAGACGTTTATGTGTTATTCTGCTTTCACGTTTTGGTCAACACACCTCTTGGGACATCAGAAAAGGTCAACATGTATCAGTATTGCCTTTTTCCAAGGCAAAACTGGTGGAAATGTTAAACACATTTTTGTAGCATAGACTTTAGGGTATGTAGAAATTGGCTTAAAAATGAACCTAAGCTGATAATAATTCAATGGAATAAATATGTGACAACTTGCCCGGACAGTATCAATATTATATCGGCCACCCTGCGCGCTCTCAAGATATTGGCATGGGCCATGAAAACCCAAATCGGTCGACAACTAGTCTGCAAACTTCACTGTCTAACTAGCCATTTTAATCCAGCAAGCTTTTCACAAGGCCTAACAAAGACACAATGTATGAATGTATATCACTGAAATACAAAAAAGACAGTATGCTGATGGTGACAGAAAACTGACATCAACACTTTAAAGGGGTCATATGATGTTGCTAAAAATAACATTATTTTGTGTATTTGGTGTAATGAAATATGTTTATGCGATTTAAGGTTAAAAAACACATTATTTTCCACATACTGTACATTATTGTTTCTCCTCTATGCCCCGCCTTTCTGAAACGCGTCGATTTTTACAAAGCTCATCGGTCTGAAAAAGCAAGGTGTGCTCTGATTGGCCAGCTATCCAGTGCGTTGTGATTGGCCGAATACCTCAAGCGTGAGACGGAAATGTTACGTCCCTCACGATACTGTGATGCCTTGAGCAACCACATGTGACGACCCCGGGCTGGACTCCGCTTCCTCCATGGTGAAAGCCGATCCGGCGATCCACAGCGTGAAGTTGATGTATTTCCTCAGCAACCAGCACGGATCAGCTCCAGGCATGACGAAGCGGATAAACTTAAGTGACAAAATATAATCACGCATCAAAACGTGCGAATGATTCTTCTGATTTTATTACATTCAGCTTAAACAGCGATTGATAATGGATAACGTTAGTGTATTTCTATTATCAATGTCGCGCTGTTGAGGCTCGTGCTGCCTCTCTCTGTGAGAGACTTTCATGGAGAAATCTAATCAAATTAGTGTAAACGGCACACATAAAGAATCTCGCAGAACAAACATACTGAGGTAAAAATTCAAAATGTTTAGTTTGTTTATTTATAGCATGATATAGTCAAGTAACATACCATGACAAGCGAGCTATTTTGCTGAATATTTTCACATTGCAAATGTTAAATTTATTTTAGTTCAACATACAAGTAGTAAAGTATTTGAAGTTACTTACATTTTTAGACACCGTTCACTGTTTTGTTCTATTTCACCAATGAAAATAGTTCCAAACAAAGATCAGAACAGAATTGTTGCGCACACTCTCCAAGCAACACTAACATTTTTGTTACTGAATGATTCAGCTGTTTGAAGGAATCGGTTGAATAAGTGACTTACCGCCACCTATTGTCGGTTTAGTCTCCTGCTTAAAAGTAGGCATTTTTCCCCAACATTTCTTATTTGTATGTTCAATTTTATTTACAACATTAATCCCATAACATTATTTATTGCTGTTGTAATTTTGTAATTATTTAATTTGATTGGTAACAGCCCTGTAGTGTATTAAATTTCTTGATCAATTTGAAAGGTTAAAAAAAAAAATATTGCCCTTTATAAAGGTAAATGTCATTCTGTGGTAAATATTAAAAACATGCAGATTTAAGTATGTAAAAGCTGACAGAAAACTGATGAAAATATTGCTTCAGAATAAATTGTTTACACCACCAAAAATCTCGGTGATGTGACACTTTTGTTTTGTGGGAATATTTTGTATGGGATATTGTCTGCTGATATGAAAAGTTCATTGTATATCGTAATAACAAATAGCATTTTTGACAGCGATGATATTTTGTTTTCTTTTTACATTTAAACATTATACGTATGTAATATAATTTGTATTTCCATCACAGGCTTGGTCTTAAATTTCACATAAAGTGGTATTAAAAAGATCTGAAATTTAACTTGTTCATATCTGTAGACACCCTGGTAGATGATCTCTTCCAATTTTTGTGTCGATATGTCAAATCGTTCCAAAGATATTGCACTTGGTAAAATCGAAATCCACAGATTTGGCATGACCCAAGGAATCCATAGACACCAAGTTTTGTTTTGCCAAGATACAGCCTCTAAACCAATTCTGGGTCAACATCAAGTTCACAACATAACTTTTGAACAAAGATGAATATCAAAATTTCTGTTGGATCATCTGAGCCAATTTTTGGAAATTTGGACAAATTTTGGAGGAGTAGTGAAAAAATGTAAAACTAGTTGTCTGTAATAACCACTACAACCAAGCACTTTTGGCCCACAGCCACTGCATCATTTTAGTCTAAGTTTATATTTTTCCTGTCAAATCACAGAATAATGTCAAAATATAATTTTAGTTTTTTCCGTCTGTGGTATGAAAACAGGTGCATGCTTTCTAGTTTTTCTTAAAGTATCAGTAGGTGAAAAAAGATGCATCAGGAACTGGTTAACGGATTTATGTTTTTTTATACTGAATTATTTTATACAGTTAAACCTCTAAACAGTTAACTAACATTTGAACTTTTTTTTATTTTTCATGTTAGACACTAAGGGTTTAATCTTCATATTGTTGTATTTGATCAAGTAGTTAAAATAGTTCCATTTTTATAGGGTCTGAGCACTATGAAACTGTACTTAGGGCACAGTGTGTATGAGAATTTCTTTTGAGGTAAATGTGATTGATTTAATATCGTTTTTTCATTTATGTACACTTCTGAATGTTTAAGTAGCACACACACAATGCGTGATTACACACAAACATTATTTTCAAGATATTTCATGTTGTTATGGTACTACTAGTGCAATACATGGTTTTGGTTGTTTGGAACGGTTTTATTTCAGTTGTTTTAGAGTAAATCACTCTTCATCAAACATTCTTTGGCCATTAATCTAGGAAAATATATTTGTGGTAATTTTGCTAAAATGAAATGGAACAACATTAAAAAAGTTGTACTGAACTGGTTTATTCTGATATCCTTATTCAATACAGAGAATGCCTTTCAGGGCTGTACAGTGCGACATATATGTCGCACGTGCTACGAAAAAACTGGTCTGTGCGATGAAGAAATGTACCCCTGTAGCACGCGTGCGATACAGTTTTGCATGTTCATAACACAGCCGCTTAATAGTGTGAAGTGATTTTGTTTCCGTGTGTGAGATTGACTATACTTGGTAGTTAGGGGTGTGCGATATGAGGATTTTTGAATGTCTCCACGATCTGCTTTTGGAGAAATAGAATTGTATCGTGCTACGCACATTCTATCAGCTGCAGGTCTGGCGCCTCCCCCCGTCTCAATATAATGTACAACGCCACATGCATTCACATCAGTGGGTAGAGTTACTCTCATGGGACACTGCACTTATGCGCAATCACAAAACTACATTATTTAATCGGCTTTAAAGCAATACCGGTTAATCATTTAATTCAGCATGCGCATTTTTCTGAGCGTACTCATGAAGCCAGCTCACACTGAGAGCCTGTCAAAAAGCGCCTGATAATTGGACTAAGTTGTCTTTCGCATCTGAATGATTTTGCGTCTAATACTGTAAAAAACACACAAGGTTTACATATAAACACAGTTGGTTATATCTAAAATGAAAGTAAACAGTTGAGAGAGAAACGTGTGCCGCTCTTAAAGGGACAGTAGCTACTAAACATGCTGCCGACTGTCATTAAAGGGATAGTTCACCCACAAATGTAAATTTCTCTCATTTATTCACTCACATTTTGTCCCAACCCTGTATTAATTTCTTTCTTGTGCTGAACACAAAATAAGATATTTTGAAGAATGAGTAACCAAGCAGTAGCTGTCCACACTGACTTTTATAACAGGAAAAAAAATACCATGGAAGTAACCAGCAACTGCTTGGTTACCCACATTCTTCAAAAATAACTTGTATGTTCAACAGACGAAATAAACTAATTCAGGTTTAAAACAACTTGAGTAAATGGTGGTATAAAAATGAAACACTATGACAGAATTGAAAGACAGATGACAATTTTCATTTTTGGTGAGCTATTCTTTTAATGTTAATAAAACAACAAAACACAGAAAAAAATCTGCTCACTGCTCTTGACTGATGAACTTATCATTAGTCAGTTGCTTTTTAAAAAGTATAATTGATGTATATAGTATTTTATTTTAATATTTGTTCATTCAATTTCTTGAATGTTACTGCTAAATACTGTACCTGAAAAATGAAGCACTGTTTGTTTTATTTGTATATTATGTGTATTTGTAAT